TGTGATGTAGTTTAGGAGAACTGGCTACAAAGATGCCTTCTCTTCCTCATGAGAACATTTGATTAGTGCACATCCTCCATGTCAATACCGGAGGATGGAGCTGTGCACAAATGATAACCAGGACTTTATTTTTCAGGTGATCCAAACAGCTGTCTCAAGTCCTCTGCTGCTTTTAATTCATCCTCAAGTTAATACACTCTTTCCTTCCTTGACAAGAGTCTTGAGGTCCAATTCTGTATTAGACACTGGCCTAGGACTTTGGGCGCTAGATGTTTGCTGGTGGAGAGAACCTTGTAAGCCTTGGGTTAGGATCAATGATAGAGGGGAGGAATACATGGGCCATGGTATCCTTCTTGGGAAGGGATCAAGTTTGTCCTTGGAACTGGCTTTCTTGGCAGGACTGGTCAATTCCAGAGAAAGCAGCATGGAAAGGGATTCTGGGGAAGCCGGGCGACTCCTGCAGAGGCCTGATGGAGCGGCCAGCCCAGTGGCCCCTGTGGTGGAGCCAGAGCACAGCAGGTCAAAAGAGGCTTCAGCATGACATTTAAGGGCCTTGAGGAGTCAGCTCAAGGAAACAGTGGGAACCAGGGCAGGACGGTTTAGCAGGGGAATATGGTCGGGTTTTGAGACATGGCTTTGCAATCTGCATGGAGGATTACTTGCGATGGAGTAAAAGGGACCTAGGGTGAAAAGACCAACCAGCATTTAAGTGAGGAATGACGAGGGCTCTTGCAGAGCCAGAGCAGGGGTGTGGGAGTGAAGGGGCTGGACGGGGGCAACGGGATGGATGGGGCAGGTGGGACGGATGGTCAGCTTGACATGTGTAGTGAAGAAGAGTGAGGCAGGGACGGTGGTGTCCTTATAGAGTTGCTGCGTGGTCAGTGATGTTGCAGAAAGTAAACAGGGAATTCATTTTGTATGTGGGAGGGTGAGGAATGTGCTTAGAGATAAAGTAAATTTGGGATGCCCTGGGATATTGCTATATGGGTGTCCTCAAAACATGATGTTAAAGACTTGATCCCCAGGTTGGTGGAATTGGGAGGTGCCGTGCACTTTCAGTAGGTGGAGCCTATGGGGGGCCCTTAGGTTTTGGGGTGTGCTCCTGAATGGAGTTAGGGGACCCTAGACGCTCAGTTTTTTTTTGCTTCCTGGCTCCTAATGTAAGTGGCTCATTCTATTCCTGTCACAATGTGCCACCCTCATCAGAAGATAGAGCAATGATTCTCTATAACCATAAGCTAAATAGTTGCCTCATTTTGTTGTAGTAACATGAAACTGATTAATACAGACATTAAGTGGAAGAATCTGTAGTTAGTTGAAAGTCATTCACTGCATGACACGATATGTACCCACATCTTAGGAAAGAGTAAGAGAAAGTGGTACCACAGAAATAAACTCAAGTCTGTGAGTCTTGAGTTCAGTTGAAGCAATAGGAAGAGGTTAAGGGTGAGAAGAGGAGCTGCCTGTCCGGGTAAACCTTAGACAAACAACTGCTCTTTTTATCTCTCTCCTCTTTAGCAACTTTCAAATTTTACATGATCAACCTCTCCCTTCACCCACTAAAAACGATGAGTTTATAGCTTGCACTTTATTTCCATCCAAGCCATATGCTTGGATGGTACATAAATTTTTTTGGGGGGGAAAGAACTTCCATTATTTTCTCTTGAAACATTAGAAGCATTTTACAACTTAAATGGATTTTTCCTGGGAGCTACATCCAGAAAAGAAATGCATGAGCCATATCATCAAAGTCCTCCAAAGAGGCTTTGCTGACTATTTTTAGAGTGGACGTGAACATGAAGTGTGGGGAGATATGGCTGGAGGAGCCAAGATCAGGTTGAGGAAGGAGGAGGGTGGCTGGGAGAGACCTCATGCCCTTGGAAAGAAGAAAGGGAGTCGTTTCTGAGGGCACTGCTTCCCAGACTTCAATCAGTGGTTCGCCACCTTCATGGATTTTACCAGATTTCCCACATCATCTGCACAATTATTTACTTAGCCTTTTTTTTTTCTAAATCAATTCACTTTTTAAACTTACAGAAAAAAAACCTATTATACAACATAGGAAATATCACTTTTGAAATGGAGACCTGTATCACTTACCATAAATATTTAAGAGGATTAGTTTTTAAAGCTTCGATTAAAAAAATTAAAAATCATTACATTCTTGGCTGGATACTGTTGCTTGCTTGAGGCTGGGAACCTCAGACCTACACTCTTTTTACAAAGAAAGGTGATAAGCAAGCAAGAAAGCCTCGGAAAGACATTCTAGCACCCAACCAGATTTCCCCTCTAGGCGATCAGAAGGGCTGAAACAAATTTGAAAAGAGAACAAACTTTCTCAGGGAGTAATTCAGTGTTATTGAGTCTTGGGTACCTCCAGCAGCAGTGCACTCAAGCCTCTGGGTAAATTGTCCTAGGATCCAAGCTAAAAAGAGGTGAGAAAAATGGAGACTAAACCTCCTGGAACCAGCTTAAGGTTTGGAGTCAATTCTTACCCTCTTTCCTTGGAGCTCAGTTAACAAAGAGGAACACACAGGAGTCCCTCCCCAGTGTATGGGATCCTTGGAAGCTGGGAGATCCATGCATGGGATCTTTAGGCACCAGTGTTGAGGCTGGCTCTTTGGTGATAGAGGATCCACCCAAGTGATCCCTGGCAGGAGGAGAGAGTCAAGGAGGCTGAGGGGGCACAGAGATACGACCAGTGGTCTCGTGTGTCTTGACAGGAGCAACAGCAGAGCCACAGCCTTTGGCTCCTGGGCCCTGTGGGAAATCTCACTTAGAAAACCTTATGTGTTGCTAACTAGGCAGCAGCATCTCCAGAGAAGAGGGCCCAGTGGGCAATCCATCATGTGCCCAAGTGCCTCATGTACAGTGACATGCTCTGGGCCCATCCATCATCAGGGGGAGAGAGCACAGCGCCAGAGCGAGGCCCGAGGAGGAGCGTTTCACATCACTTATTCATTAGCTTCTAAGATGTGGCTTTTCAGGACACCACACAAGTTCGAAGTCATTTGAAATGTTTTTTTTTTTAAAAAAATGACAACTCTCATCTTGCTTCTGTGGCTGTGATGGGGATGTTGTTCTGATCTCTCTGCTTTCATCAAATTAATTGCCCATTTCTTCACAGTGGTTTGGATACAAGGGGGGCACATACTGTCTGGGAGAAGAGTCTAGACTGGCTGTGAATGACGATGAGGAGCCTCGGCAAGCTGCACATGTGCTTCTGGAAGGGAGGGGCGGCTTGCCAGTCCACCCAGGGGTGGGACTTAATTGAGAACCTTTGCCTGGGATGTTTGAAGGAAGCACTAGAAAACCATAGACGTTCTCAGACTTATTGGGTGGTCACAGTTCAACCAAATATTGTCACTTTTAATTCAGCTTGGAAACACAGAATGTCAGAACTCAAAGGGACCATTGGGACTGGCTAATTAAAAGCTCTCATCTTTCAAATGAGGAAACTCAGAGGTCAGAAATGACTTGTCCAGGTCACAAAACTCATAGCAGGCTGGTAAATAACCACCTGCCCTTTTCACTTACATCAACCAAATAAAAAAAAATATTTTAAGGTCATACAAAATGCATCAGTAGCTACCTGAAGAGAGAGCAGCCAGAAATTTAAATGCAATTTGGTTCAAATGAATTCTTCCTACTTATGATAGGTTTCTTTGTTCTCCCTCGCTTCTGATGGGAGGAAAAAAAAAAAGGTAGCCATTGATAAAGACGGCCTGCTTCTGCTTGCCACAGCTACGAGGCCCCTCCTCTGAGGGCACACTTCACATGGAGTTAAAAGGCCTCTTTCTGTATGACTTGTGCAGAACCTTCCTCTATTTGGTAGAAACGTGGTCTTGGGCTCCTCCATGTAAGGGTTGACAGGTGGGTGGAGAAAATGCCCAAAGCTCTGCCCCAGTGTAAGCACCTGCTGGCTTCCAGGTATGGGGCACCCTACTGCAATAAAGTTTCAAGATGCTGCCAGAAAGAACAAGAAATTTCTACCAGAAGACATGGGCAACCCACCCAGGGAACAGTGCACTTAGCCGAACTGTCATTCTCCGTGGAAAGAGAAAATAGCGAAGAAATGAAAACCAGACATTGTGGTCAACAAAATTATAGGCCATCAACTGAAATGACCACTTTTAACCACTTTTCCACTGTGCCATTGAAAGTGGGGTTCCAGCTGAGGAGCCATTGGTCTTCCTGGTAACAACAGTAATGAGCCCTGCTCAGTTGCGGTTATGGAAGGCACTTGTGTCTGTTACCTCCTTAGGTCCCTGTGGGGACTCTCAGTAGAGGTCACTGCTCCCATGCTACAGATAAAGAAACTGAGCCATTTCATGGTAGCTGATCTGACTTGGGATCAAAGCACAGATCTTTGGCTCGAATGCTCTTACCACTCTATTGTGTTCCCATCTATCTCCTATATAAACCACTTTATTGTAGACCTCGTCCCATGCTGGGAAGAAATGGTATATTTTGAAAGGAACACAAAGTGTTTAGCCCAGTTCTTGACCTGTAGTGAGTGCTGGGTGTGGGCTGGCAACCAGGGGTGGAGATGGGAGACAGGGGTCACCGTGGTGGAAAAATTGATATCACAGGTTTGGAATTAGAAAGATCTGGATGTCAGTCCTGAGTCTGACCCCTTTTGCTCTCAAGACTATGTTCTATGTGAGCTGGCCCAAATGGCGTAACTTCCCTGGCCACCATAAGGCCCACCTCATAGTGTGTGATAGTGAAATGAGATGCCAATATGTAGGCAGAGCTTACCTCAGTACCTGAACTACTGTCTGATAAACATAGGGATGATATCATCCAAAGGGCTTGCTCATCGAGGTCCTTACCCACCAGAAGTTAATATTTCCTAGTTAAACACCTTGTGTTTTAAGTCTCATTCATTTGTCTTTTCCCCCCTGTCGACTTTGTGCATTTAGAGAGTTTACTAGAGTGTTCCTTGAACCCCATGGCTTCTGTGCTCTGCAGAGCAGGCCTTGGTTATGACCAGGTACCTGTATATGATGCACGCTGTGTTCTGGCAGGTACTGCAGTTGTTGAGGTCTTGGCCAGTTCGATAAAAGTTGCGCCTGCAAGACAGAGAATTTGCTAAATAAATCAATGGGCAGAGGCCACAGAGGACACACACATCTACCAGCTAATCCCTGGGTCCCTACCACACAACATTCACGGTGCCCTGAGGTTTGTGTTGCAAATAAGGAAATAAGAAATTGCAACAAGGGGACCTCCATTTCTAGTGGGCTTTATGCATCCTTGAACACTTTCAAATCTGAAGGCTTTTTCCTGCTCCCACCAATCCTGCAACATGAGGGATTGGATAGAGTGATTAGTAAAACTCCCGACCCTTTGGTCCAGTGCATTTCTCTCTGTATCATCACAGAATTTTCTCTTCTCAAGCAACGTGGATTCTGATTCCTAACAGCAAATGCCAGCTAATTGCTTCTCTCTCAGTTCCTTTTTGATGAGTGTTGGCAGTGCTTCCTCTTTGGTCTTTAGATGATGCTTTCTAGAAGGACAAGGGCAGCTCACACCCAGGCAGATCACTGCCTGCCCCTCCCCACACTGGTGCTGAGTCACCCTGGAATGTATTTGGTGACTTTTTTCTCTTTGCAGAATTGTAATCTCATTTCAACTCTTACAGAGTCGGTCCATGATGGACCAGCCCAAGTCCTCAAAAAAAGTGGTCAGTGGAGCAGAGATGGTCAACTGTAAGCTCAGTGTCCACCTTAAGCCCTTTGTAACAAACATAAATGCAAATGCATTAACTCACTAAGAGGGTGGGGAAGTGTCAACCTGCTGTAGTGTCCCCCTTCATCTATCAGCTGGACCTGCATCTTTATAAAAATCAGGTCTGATCCATGGCTTTGCTGTTTTCTCCTCCCACCCCCATCCCAGACATAAAAGCAAATAACAGTGGAAATTCACCCTGATCCACCAAACCCTGGAACTGAATGAAGCCCCATCAGAGTGAAGGGAGGCCATCAGCTATGATAGGGGGACGCAACTGACCTCAAGCATCTTGGAGACATTTTGCCAATGGGAGCCGGTGCTCTCGTTCTCTGTCCCATCCCATCAAATGACTTAACCTAGAAGATTTTTTTGGGGGGGTGGGGGGGTACAGGAAGATCACAAGTTCAAACCCAGTAGTTTTTAACATAAGAAAAATTCACCTTACCCTTCAGTAAGAGCTCGAGCTTTCTCCAAGTCTTGAATTACATTCAAAAGGACCTTAATTTTCTCTTGGTTGGAGTGTAGCGATTCCTCCACAGATTGCAGCCGACCTTGGAGGTCGCAGAGTTCACCCCGTGCCAGGTGTATTTGATTGATGTCACTAATCTCCCTGTTGCTCTGAGGTTTGCTCTCACTCCTTGGAAGAGAAGAGGGGAGGGGATTGTTTCCTGGGCAGTTCTGAAATTCCAGGGTGTCTGGTTGGGTGGGGTTCTTTGCCGGCTGCTCCTTACACCCAGGGGCAGACTTTGATGCACTGCTAGTTTTGCATGCCCCCAGGTCCTGGTGACTGTCATCCGATGCAGGACAGTCTGAGTCTCTTTCTGGATGGGTGGGTTGGCTGTGGGACCCTGGTGCAGGGGAGCTGTGAGTTTGTGGAGATGAAGGGACGCATGTGTCCTTTGACTGAGATGACAGCAGGCCAAGGTCTCTGTCCTCACAGTTGTCTTTGGGCAAAAGCAATTCGTGCTTGAGTTTCTCTGTGCCTGGGGGATAGCTGGCACCACTGGTGGCAGCCAAGCCAGAGGGAGATCTTTCTGAATCTGATATCAGCACCCTTCTCCCCTCCCCTGGACACACGTCAATCAAAGGGGGTATCGAGTTGCTCCTCTCAGTTGACTCACCTGGGCTGAGCGTGGACGCTCTCGCTTCCCAGGAAGGACCGTGATAAAAATCATCTGGGACCTGAATGGCAGCTGCAGCTTTCTCTGAGGCCCTCCAAGACCCAGCTTCTAAGCATATGCTAAGAGGCCCGTTGCTTTGCACCTTGGACACCCTCGGCAGGAATGGGTGGGACACTTTGACCCTTCGAGGTCCATCCTCCAGGTGCTGAGCCAGCCTTAGGTAGGCAAGGTCAGAGGACACAATGTCCTGTTCCGAGAGGTTGCCGTTGACCTGGATGGCACTTGGGGGTGCTGTGGGCATTTCCACCAGGGACTTGCTGGCTGTCAGTTTCTTCCTTTTGAAAACTGGGAAATGCTTCCTGAGACTGGGGGAGGTTTGGATCGCAATGTTCCGAACCCCCCCGGCCTTCTGGGACCTGGGGAAGGACAGCGAGTAGGCAGGGGGGTGATGATGCTTGGGTGCTGGTGTCTTCCCCATCCCAGTTGGGTCTTCGGGAGCCTGGGTGTCCGCCTCAGCTAGGCCAGTTGGGTTCTTAGTGGTCCCATCGTCCTTGAACCGCACCTGCTGGGATTTGCTCCTGCGGTGGTGAGGTGGCTTTACGAGCTCCACCGACTCTAGGCTGTTACGCTTCAGGAGCACGGGTCTCACTTTCATAGTTGGCTGGGCCATTGAGCCTCAGTGGGAAGGAACAGAACCAGACACTTCTCTGGCACACATCTCCCTTAGGTCTTTGGAGCAGCATCGAATGACGGCATCTCAGGCAAAGAGAACTGCCGGCCAGGATGGAGTGGCCCTCCCCTCTTAGGATAGGAAGCCCTGTCGGCCATTCCCAGCCTGTGGTTCCACTTAGGAGCTCTATGAAAGCTTCCCCCACCGTCCCGATGTTATTCCACGGCAGTCATGACGGCTACGTAGAGAAGCAGTGATGAGGCTAACTATTAGACATCGGATCTACCAAGAGAGCTGGGGGCTGCTCACCAGGGCAGGTCAGGAGCGCTGTTCTGATCCTGGGAGAAGCTGGCTGTCTTGAAGAAAAAGACCACCAAAGTACCATTTGGGGGAATCACAGCACACTCCCAAAGAGAGAGCCCCCCAAACACCTGCTACATTCAGAACATACGGGTTCCTTTCCAGAGCAGCAAGTTTCAGTGTCAAACTAGGGAAAGCTCAGACACATCTTCTTGCCATAGCATGTAAATAGCTGAAAAAATAAGTGACCGGGGAAGTTGCTACTTTGGTGACACATGATGTTCCTGAGGGGGTGTCTGCACTGATGTCAATCCCAGAGTCCTCCTTTGGGGCCATTATTTCCTTTCATGCTGTTTCCACATTCTTCCGTTGTTTTCCTAAACAGCCTCACAAAACCCAGTAGGATGGAGGCAACAGAGGGCGTTCAGGGAGACGGAGTGCCCTGTTGTGATGTCTTAGCTGAGGTTCACATGTGGGCCGAGTCAGCCACGTCTGCGCCTCGGGACGTTAGGCCAGGAACAGCATTCACTTGGTCTGTGGGGCCAGCAGCCAAGACTCGGCAGTCTTTTCGAGCAGCTAGGGAGCACCTGAAAGGGAGGAGAGGAGGTCACCCGACTGACCCCTGACTGAGTAGTTTTGAGTGAGAGGGTGTAGGAAAGGTCCCTCTGCACTGTTCTTCTCTGTGCTCCTAAAGAGCCAGGTGCCTTGTGGGTGCAGGGCCTTAGGACAAAGCACTCATTTGCCTGGATCCTGTACTTCCTGCACTCCCAGTTATCAACCAGCCAGCTCCTCTTCATTGGCAAAGACCTACCTTAAATGTCATTCCAGAAGGAGCTTTTACAGTGACTCTCTCCTCATCCACACCAGTGCTAGTCCACTCAGGGCTCCCATTTGACATTCTCATCACATCCTTTAATGGCAGAAATTGCAGCTGTCATTAAATAATCATCTGGGGACTTATTTATTCAGTGTGAGTGTTGACCCACTACCCTGTGCACCCTCGGAGGATGGGGCTAGGGCCACCCTGTGCACGGTGTAGGTATGCCCGGCCTCCCACCTGCTCCTGTGGTTGCTCACTGGACATGAATGAGGGGAGCTGATGGCTGAATGAAGCCAAGGAGAGCCAGGGCGTGGAGGGATGGAGGAACTGGGGCGTCCTACAGGGGCGAGAGGACCCTGGTGTCTCTTTGCAGTGACTGCAGCCTCTTCCTAAGGACAAGATTTACCCCCTAACAGCTTCACTTTTACTGCCTTCCGGGAGATAACTATGCATGAAATTCTCTGAGGAACTTGTACCTTGTAACAATAACGGCCACCATTTATTGAGCATTTATTTTTACCATGCTGAGGGCTTTCCACACGTTAATCATAACAACTCACGTTTACTGAGCACTCAGTATTGTGACAGGAGCTGTCCTAAGCACTTTCCAAGCTTTAACCCACTCGTTTGTCACCTAACTCCCCTGTAGAGATGGACACTGTCACTGAAACCATTTTACAACTGAGCTCTCATTACTTGCAGTTCAGAAAGGTTAAGTGACAGGCCTAACGATACACAGCTAGTGACAGAATCAGGATCTGAACCACCGACTCCAGAGCCTATGCTCTTAATCCCTGCTCCCCAAAGTGCCTTTTCAGTGTTGCATTATCTCATTGAATCCTCACATAAAAACCTATAAGGTGTCATTATCTCCCTGGGACTGATGAGGTAACTGAGGAGTGGAGGAGCCAGGATTTGAACCCAGGTGTGTCCCATTCCCAAGTCTGTGTTCTTAACCAGGAAGCTTGATTCTGCTCCCTTCAGATATGCCTGGTACATGGACCGGTGGACAGTGATTTGAGAATGGTTTTTAAAGCCCCCTGCAGACTTGAGAGATAAGGACTGTCCTCTGGCCTCGCCAGAGCAAAGCCAACCAGAAGGCTTGCTGTAGGTTGGAGGGATCTTCATGCGTCCCAAGCCTTCCTGGTTGACCACAGGGCTTGGAGAGAAAATGAGTCATCAAACAGCCCACTGGAGTTTGGGGTTCCCTGACAGAGGAGTCGTAGCATGACCCAGGCTCATTGGGTCAGTGCATGCAAAGCTGGGTCCACACAGCGATCAACGTGTTTCTCATCCTTGCTGGTATTACTGTTTGGCAGCCAGGTTTCTCCTGGCGAGTGCCAGCGAATGTGTGAGTGTGTGTCTGGGGAGGGGACCATCAGGTCTCGACAAGCTTCATGGGCTGCGCAGCCCGACTGTGGATGGCCCTATCTGCAGCTTTTCCAGAAGGTAGAGCCACTCTTAAGACAGAAAGAGTGAGCTCAGGTCACACTCACCTGTCTGCAAAGCAGGGCTGACCTGGAGAACTGTGTTTTCACAACTCTAGGGAGACAAGCCTGCTGGCCCGGGTTCCCCAGTCATTCTGCACAGCAATCCCGGGCAACCGGACTTTAAATCCGGGTTCTGTGTTTCAGCGACTTTGCATAAGGAATTTTAGGTCTAGAAGAATCCAGATTCTACTTCCTCATTCCATGACCAAGTCTGCCTTGTGTCCTCTTGGACACCTCCAGGGACATGGAGCTCATTACTTTGTCCGATAGCCAAATGGTTATTCTTCAAATTAGTACTAGCAAATATTCATGGAAAATGTCCTGCTGCCAGGCGTTGTGTTGGTATTGGCATTTGATCTTCAAAATAACTATGATCCCCATTTTGTAGAGTGAGAGACTGAGGTTTGGGAGAGTGTCACGTGCCTAAAATCCTCCATCTCGTGCCCTTCACCCTCGTACTGCAGAACCTAGATCTTTGTGTGTCTGCTTTTGCTGATTTTGGACCAAGTTATTTTTCACTGACTCTTCACTTGCTCTTTAGTGTTGTATCAGGAACAACATCAACTCTCATGAGCTATGATGGTCTGAAGCTGGTTGTCATAGCTCTAGTGTCTGGTGAGCACTGAGCACACGCTGGGCATCAGCAGAAGTGCTTTTCCATTTTCTCTCCTCCCTGGTCTTTGTAACACTCTTAGAGGAGGTACTGTCAGTCTCCCATTTGACAAACAAGGACACTGAGGTGCAGAAGGAGAGCAATTTGTCCCAAGTTGCTCTCCTGGCAAATGACAGAACTGACATTGAAATCCCAGGACTGGCTCCTGGGCCTTCCTGCCTTCTCCGGGCCTGGAAGGGCTGATGGTTTGGTGCAGGGCTGGCCTCAGGATCAGCCTCCTCCACATTCCCCTTCTGGAAGCCGCCCTGGTTCTGTTTCAGCCGTGTCTCTTCTCCAGCAGAATTGTGTAGCCTTTAGATGTTTTCTTTTGATCTTTAAAAACAGTCAGCTTTCTGTTTATAGATTCAGTATGGTCATTATAAAATCCAAACAATTTAGATAAACAAAGGAAAGGAAAAAAGAAGGAACCTCATCACCAAAAAAGAGCCACCAGGCACCCACAACTCGGTACAGCTCATTCTTGGCGTCTCCGTGCTCAGGGCTCACGTGGGTAGGATGTGCATAGCCAGGTTTGTGGACAGAAAGCCTCATCTCCACTGACCAGGCCGGATGAAGTTCAAGGTGGCTCATAGGCTCCTGCCTTCCTTTCCCAGGCTGTCAGGACTCAGCTATCTACCATGGTCTACTTATGTTCTTCTGTGGATAGTAACTTTCTTCTCAATATTTGATATTACTAATGATGCTGTAATTAACATTTTTTTTGTACATGAACCTTGGAGCACTTGTCTAATAATCTCTTGGGAATAAATTCTTGGAATAAGAATTAGTGAGTCAGTAGCCACATCTTTTACATTTTGTTGATAAAACCCCTTTACCACTTTTGCTTCCAGAAAGTTCTGCTAAGGAAGGCCTCTCCAAGGGTGTCTGTCACTGTGGTTAGTTTAAGATGGTTTATTCCATCATTGACAATAAAGTGGAAGTGATAGTGTATATCATTGTTCTTATTATGGAGCTTATTGAAGATTGGTTTTTTTTTTTTCACTTTTGTTGGATTCATACCACATTTGGTATAGGTACTGAGTGAATAATTAAAAAGGAAAATATGAATAACCAAGCTAATGTGGAAGTTCTTGTCTCCTGGACAGAGCCTGGAAACTTTAGGAAACATGTGATTTTCACTTTAAATCAACCATGTATTTATGTCCCAACTCTTCCTCCCACCACGCCCACCATGACCTTGGAGTAGACCCGTCCTGAGGAGTGTATCTGCTGGGAGGAGTAACCGTGTGGAGGTCTCTGAGTCTGCTCCCAGCTCTCAATTAATTGGTAGGGAGTTCCCTGGGCCTTGGTGGTTAGGGCTTAATTGATAGCCTGGCCCGAGTCCAGGATCGCTCCCCTGAGCCCTCACGGCAGCCGGCGGCACCTCGTGGTTCAGCAGGTGCTCCTCTTACAATCTTGGGTCTGTCCTCCTTTGATTACTGACTTACTGAGCACAAACCACGTGTTTATGTTCACACTGTGCCCTTGGCCCACATCTGAGGGTCCTGGTGCAATCAGGGTCCATTTGACAGATACAGAAAAACTAAGCACTCTCTCCATTGGTGGCAAACTATAGGCCTTCTCCCGCGTGGGCACCCAGGTCTCTCCTCGGGTTTACGTTGGCACTTGCAGGGAGGGCGTCAGGGAAAGGCTGCAATTGATGACCTGGACTGGAATCTCCCACTTTTGACTGTCAAACAAGTGACGTGGCCTTGGTAGAACCACTCAGAGCCACTATGAGGACTGCACAGGGTCACCTGAAATGCTCAGCATAGCCGTGTTGGCTCACCAGATGGAATCCACTGGAGGCCATGAGATGACTCCAAGGGGCCTCTTGGTCCTTCCACTTTCCCTCGGGAGAGGGAACTGCAGGGCCGTTTGTGGGAGAGAATGGTGTGCCAGGAATCCTGCCCATCTCCCTGCCACCCCCTCACCCTGGGTATTTGGGCACTGCTCTTGCCTCTTTGTGATCATAGGCTGACTCCCCACCTCTTTCATTAGACCATCACTCCTGAAAACAGGATGTGGTGACAGTTTGCTCTGAACCCCAATCCTCACTCCCAGCTTGGCAGAGCAAAGCGAGAGGGAATTCTTGGAGAATCAATGAATATAATCCCATGTCATCTAATCTTGCTTAACTTCTCTGGCATAAAGTAGCTTTATTTATTTATTTTTAATTGATTTATTTTCAGAGGCAGGGTTTCATTATGCTGCCCACGCTGGCCTTGAACTCCTGAGTTCAGTCTACGGCCATACCACCCTGAACGTGCCCGATGTCGTCTGAACTCCTGAGTTCAAGGTGTCCTCCCACCTCAGCCTCCCGAATAGCTGGGGCTGCAGGTATGCAGCATTGCACTCAGCGGCGGAAAGTATATTTATAGATGGCATGGAACAAATATTTGCATAACTGATTAATTAAGAGTGAATTAATTCACTTCCAACTTTCTTTCCCTTTCCATGATATATTGCCATTGGGTCTAGGACAAATGAACTACGTCTGTCCTTTGGTGTGTTATGCTTCCTCGATTTATGGCTCAGATTTAATTTGGTGAAACTTAATCGAGAGACTGTTATGATGTGCGCACTGTAATAAACATTCTGAAGAGAAATAAAACTGGATCTGTA